AGCACCTCCTTCCACCCACGGTCTAAAGCCCAAATGAGAAAGTTAAATCCGGAGATGAAATGAGTTTTTCAGTAACACAAGAACATCTTGATGAGGTTGAGTACCTCATCAGTATCATGAATAAATTAGTCTCTGAAAAACATTCCTGTAACGTCAATAAAACACGCTGGGAGTCTATGCGCCCCGTCATCAGCCAGGAACAGCGGTCCTGGAGCACTTACAGCAGACAGTCTGCAGAACCTGTACTGAGGAATCAGAATCGGGATGGGTTAGGAGGGAGGCAGGAGCCCGCCCTGTCCCAACCCCTTCCTCCTGCTCTTGACTGAGCAGTCTTCAGTGGAGGTTCTGATGGCGTCTGGGTGAGAATTTTAACGTGGAACATCTCCGCTCTTAGATCACTAATAACGGGAGGCTGTGAAAACATAGAATTGGGAGCAAAAACATTCCGTTTTGGGAAATCTAACGTTTTCTTTTTGGACTCTATTTACCACACAGGTACTTGGTTATTATGTGGGCACTCCAGGCATCCCTGAAGAGTTCCCGCTAGGTGGCGCTCGCTCTCCACTGTACCAAGCCTGGCTCTAGAGCCTGTGCATTTCTTTTTAATACCCTGAGAAGTGATCAATCTTCAAGCCTGGCTTTTTGCATGTGAGAAAACTAAGCTCCAAAGGGAAAGTGCTTTCGTGAGGTCGTTTGTTTCGTCCCAGCCTAGAGAGCATAATCTGATCTCTGAAACCAGTGGGTTTACTTCACCCTTTGCACACATGGTCTAGTTTGTTGATTATAATAAAATATTTCCACTTAACAAAGTTTAAGTTCAGATCTGTGGGCCTTAACGTGTTTTATTTGAAAATACACGGAATAGAAAAAAATCGTTAGATTTGCCTTCTTGGATTTTTTTCTTTGATTTCTCAAACTCGAACGAAGCTCCTTCCTCGTGAGAGGTTAGAAACGGATAAGGACGACGAGAATAAACCTGAACGTTAATGAGCAGAAGCGGTAAATTCAACTGGATTTTACATCAAAGCTAAATTGGAATCCTGATTTAGCCACCCACTGATGGGGCACGGGTCTCAGTTTTCTTATCTGTAAAATGGGGGTGTTTTCTACATCATACCCCACGGATGTATCCATTAAATGAAAGAATAGGCACTGGCTCACTGTCAGTGAGCCATAAACGTGAAATTATTTTGGCCTGTAAGAGCAATGCAGTCTGATCTACCTGGACCACGTGCGTGAAAAACCCTGCTGTGGGCTGGATGACTCAGCCTGTGTCTGCTGGCGGGAAAGCGGCGTGGGACGTGACGCCCAGGATACTTCCGCTGGCTGGAGAGGCCTCAGATGTCTTCAGATGAGTACAATTGGTTCCCTTGCGCGACCTCTACCTAGACCCGGCTTTGGTGAGCATCTCCTTCCCTTTCTCTTGCTCACGCATTTCAGCAGCGGCCTCCGAGAGCACCGCGTCTAAACCCACGTTTTAAAGGAGTGGAAACTAAAGAGAGTAGGTGACTTCAGTCATGGTCACCCGCGCTGAAAAGTGAGCCTGGCGTGGTTTGCATTCGCGGGCTGCTCCAGTAGAGAAGACAATCTCTTTCCTCTAGGTCAGGCAGGTGGCCTGCAGCAACCGCGCGTTGCGCTGTAACCCTTGGGAGCCTCAGGAGCTCGGGTGCGCGCCGCAATATTCTGAGCGTTTTCCCCCTTGCCAGCCCCCGCGGCTTTCCGGCCCGATCTGCCCGTGGCGCACGGAAGCCTCTCCGCGCTGCAGCGCTCCAGGCCGAGGCTGTGTTGGAGACCGGAGGGCGCAGCACGTAGGGGGCGCGCAGGAACCGAACTGCAGAGAGGAAGACCTGGAAGGAGAGGAGGCCACAGAACGAGAAAGGGAGGGAAGAAGAAGAGGGGGAGAAGACTAGGAAAGAGTGGGGCTTGGAGGGAAAAAGGGGGTGCGCCCTCGGGAGGAAGGCGCGGACGCCGCGTGAGCTGGACGCCGCCTGGAAGCCTTGCCGGCCTCTCTTCCCGACTTCCCAACTCTGCCGACTTCTGGCCAACCCAGGCCGGAGCCCCGCGCCAATGCAACACCAGACGCCAGTGCCGTTGGCGCCCACGGGGCTCCGGGAGCCCCCGCTACGCCTGGAGGAAACCGCGGTCGATGGGCTCGGAGCGGGGCCCCGGCGCGCTCGGAGTCTCCGGCCCCAGGATACGCGCGGACCTCCAGGTCCCTAGCCAGACACCCCACTTGCTGACCCGGACTCTGCATATATCCCAGCCTATCTCTGTTCTCCGACCTCCGCCCAGGCTTCCCCAAAGGCCTTTTCCTCCCCACCCAAATCTAGTTGTCGCTCAAAACTGGTGGTTTATCCAGGGCCCACCCCCGGGCCCTGCCTGCAAGTCAGCCACTCACCAGACCTAAAGATCAGCTACCCATTCATTGCAGTTGCCCGAGATGACACCACCAGCCACCGTCGCTGAGCGCCTCCTTGCAGACGCGGAATGTAACCACTTTTCCATTCCCCTGGCACACACCAAAAACGCTAGTAACTTTCAGAATCACTGAAACTCATCTTCTCGTGCTTTGAAAACCTCTGCCCAAGACTGTGGCAACTGATTTGAGATTTTTTTTTTCAAAAAAAAATTTTGTTAACCAAGTATTATTATTTTCAAGTAAGTAATAGCCCCCAAACTTAACTCTAGTTCTCTGGTCATTCAATCTCCAAACGTCTCTACAGCCTATATATCCGGAAGTCACTTTATTATTTGCTCAACCAAGTCCTGGCCCCACAGTCATAGCCCTGTGGGGCACACATATTCAACACCTGCCTCTCTCTACCTTCCAGGCAACCTATGTCAATCTCGACCAGCCCCTAGAAAATAGTGGCATCTGTATTTATTTCCAACATCCTGGCCTAGAGTGGAGAACAGAGGACAATTTTTAAAGACAGAAAAAGTTGGGGGGAGGAGAGGAACACTTTCTTTTGAAATCTCTTAAGCATTTTGTTGTCTCTCTCCCATTCTGAATCTCGAAGTCTAAGAGAGGCCCTTCTTACGCTTGCTTAATACACCAAATTTAAACGCCTTTCTCTCAAAACTGATAGAATTATGATGAACTATAAAGGGCAATGACCTCTTAAGGTGAGAGTTTGTTTGCCAAGGCACAGTACAGCGTCTGCACAGAGCAAGAAAACATTACGCAGCTAAAATGCTGAAAAGTCTGGATGCTGCAAACGTCCTTCTAGGGTTGAAAACAATGGGCAGTGCATCTATTTCCTCCTGCAGTGCAGAACACCTAGAAAGAAAGCAGCAGGGGAAATGGTATCTATTTTAGTGACACCAAAAACACCAATCCCGGCAATTTTTAAATGAAAATCACAGTTCTTTAAATATATTTAATGGTTCAAGTCTGTGCATTTGGTATGAAAGACAGTAAAATATGTTACTTGAACAAAAGTTTATTTAAAAATAAATGCCATAAATAAGCAACATGTTTTGATATACTCAAAATATTTGTGTTTCTTTCTTGGTTCCTCCTATTACATAAAACAATGTATTTCTTATTTTTAATGTTTTAAGAGCATTAAGTGTCAGCTTGGGATCAATACTATGTAACCCACTGATAATGTTTTAAACAAATAAATATCTTTTTCTGTTCACTTCATAAGTAACAGAATACTTAAGAACAAATTGAAAGGATTTTGTTTTTCGTGATGTAAAACTTGGAACAAACTCCAGTTACGTTCAGTGTCGACCGCTCAGGAAAATGACTGTACAATTCCAGAAAGTTTCCCAAAGATGCCTTCCAGTTCCTCGCCTGACTTTAGTTTTTACTGTAACATTTTTAATCTGTGCGATTCTTCTAGTAAAAAATCGATCAAATCAAAGACGCTAAGGAAAGAACAACATTTCTAGGGTGCTTTTAATTATACGGGTATTTCAGTAAAGAACATTAGCAGTGAAGAAGCAGAGAAATATTAGAGATGAAAAGATGCATTTGTTCTTCGGCTTTGGTTCCTTCCTAGAGAACAGAAACTAAGCGTGTCGTTTATGAAACTGCATTATCTTGAATTTCCGTTGCAGATTTTGCCTGGACTTCATATCAGCGTTCCAGAAAAGCGCTGGAATAGTGGCTGTATCTGCAGAAGTAAGAAACGTGGCTGCAGGGTGGATGACTCTCGTGTTCTTACAGGGTGCTTCGAGGATCAGGCTTAGGAGGGAAGGGGTTAAGTCAGACCCTGTCTTTTAAGGCTCAACTTGCCCAGTTTTGTCTCTTAAAGTCAACGTCCCCCAGCTGGAGCCAGCCAATCAACGGCCGAGAGAGCCCTGGACAGCCCAGTGAAGGGGCGTGGCCTGAGGCTGTCACTCAGGCGTGAGGAATGACACTCATACCGGAGGGGGGTGTGCGGGGGAACGCAGGGGAAGGAAAGAGAAGAAACAGATAAAACCAGAGCAGAGAGTAAAAAGGTGCCCCGCTCCTCACCAAATTCAGCGGCTGCCGCCGTCGCCGCCTCAGTGGGATCCGGAAGAGCCAGCCCAGCGGGGAAGAGGGAGGGCTGACCTGAAGCGAAATCCTGCGGGCGGGGAAGAGACAGAGGCGCAAAGAAGTGACTTGGGCCGTGCTCCCGGCGGCGCTTGGGAGGGAACTGTAGCGGCCGAAGGGACCCCGCCAGTTGTCCCCCATCTTCCCCCACCCGAGGGGCAGACCCCGGCCCGCCCCTACGGGCGAGAGGCAATGAGATAATCCAGCTGAGTTACAATCGGAGAGCGTCTGGCGCTGGATTCAGGGGGAGGGGGTCTCCAGGCGGAGTGGGCCTCAGAGTTGGGGGCGAGGGTCGGCGCAGATCCTAGGAGGGAGGGGGCGGGGGCTGCTGAGCTTTGCAGCAGGAGGCTGCAGGGTGTTGGCGCACCCGGCTCACTCGCGCTGCGGTCGCCGGCGTTCTCCATCCGGCTCAGAGTTGCCCCTTGCCCCAGCTGCCCGCCCGGCCGGCCGCCCGCTCCGGCCCGCGGCGCAGATGGCTGTGCGCGGCGCCAACACCTTGACGCCCTTCTCCATCCAGGCTATTCTCAACAAGAAAGAGGAGCGCGTAGGACTGGCTGCGCCAGAGGGGCGCCGGGTGCCTGGGGGCACAGCGGTGGCGGTGGCCGCTTCGCCAGCAGTTTGCTGCTGGCGGCTTTTTGGGGAGGCAGAAGCGGGCGCACTGGGAGGCGCTGAGGACTCTCTGCTATCGTCTCCAGCTCGGAGCAGAACAGCTGCGGGGCAAACTGCGGAGAGCCCGGGAGGTTGGGACTCGGACTCCGCTCTCAGCGAAGAGAACGAGGGCAGGAGGCGCTGCGCCGAAGTGCCGGGAGCCAGCGGGGCCGGCCGCGCAGGGGGAACCCTGGGCCTTGACCGGCCAGTCTGCGAGATGCATGCAACCAAGGATTTGGAGGAGGAAGCCGCCGGACGGAGCGACAGCGAGATGTCAGCCAGCGTTTCAGGTCTGCCGCGGCTTCGCGGGGAAAGGGGGCGGACAAAGAGGTCAACCACGCGGAATAGGGTGGGCCTAGTGTGAGCAACCTGTGTCCAGGGTTAGGTTCGGGCCAAGTCCCGAAGTTCTGCGCGCTGGCGCGGGCTGCACCAACCCTTAAACACCTGAGCCTCTAATAGATGAGAAGCTCCTTGGAGCCCTGCATCCCAGGACAGTGCTCTTGGATGAGATTGGGAGAGAACCGCTGCTTTCTGCCTTCCGAGGCCTTTGAATTCATTGCCAGTGCCTTAGCAGCGTCTGTCTTCAACTCCCCCAAATTAGCAAAGAGAGACCAGAGACCTCAGGTACACAGTGGCCTGGCCCTAACTGCTGGAGGTCCCAGGACCCAGCCTTGAAGCACAGAAACAGGCAGTGAAGGACACCTTCAAATGGGCCAGTGCCAAGGATGCACAGGTAGGGCTTTGAGGAAAGGGACGCTTTAATTTTCCAGTGCCCCGGGTGAAAGACCAGAGTTGAGCTGAAGACTGAGGTGCTGGAGGAAAACCCAGAAGCTACCCGAAAGCGGGAGGGTGGGGGCTCCATCTAGGTTACCTGGGGGCAGGCAGGATAGAGGCATCCTTTGCCAAAATCGGAACATTTCTTGATTGGAAAGACCCCGGGCCACTTCAGTTGGGTGCACTTTGCTGAAGGCCTCAAGCAGCTAGCCCAAAGGAGGCAAGCTAGTGCGAAGGACCTCTCTGTGGGGTCAGCGGGGAGAGCGAAGGAAGGGGCCCAGGCAGTGGTGTCAAATCAGGGTCCAAAGACCCAAGACAAGACAGTCTCTTCTCTTCACCACCCAGCCTTAGCTCTCCTCTCACTTCCTTGAGAAGAGAGGAGAAAGCCCAACCAAGACCTTGGCATTGCCTGTTGCCTTACCTTCTCCTGCAACCATGGCCTGTTTGGGGCGAAAGACTCCATATACTCCTGGCCTCAAGATTGATCCCCCTCCTTCACCTTGCATACAGCCAACGCGAATGTGTGAGCCTGACTTTGAGGAGCCGGGTGACCCCAGTAGACAGATAGAAACGCAGTCCCGAACTCCAGGTCTTACTGCTGAGAGCAAGAAGGTCTTGCGGGGATGCTAAGACCCAGTGCCCCCACGTTACTAAAGGGAATTCTGGGACCCAGACAGAGCTGGGTGCTGGTCTTCAACTGCACCCCTTAACATAGCTGCTGAGTCGGTCCGGTCTGCCAGAAAAGGCAGAAAGATTCGAGAAGGTAGCAGGACAGGGTTCCAAGACAAATCTCCAGCTCCAGAGGGGACCTCACCTCCGCTACCGTCAAATCAAAGTTTATTTCCGATCCCCAAACCCACCCCGGAAACCCCTGCAGTTGAGACCCAGTCTCACCTTTGCGACGCTGACAGTCTCTTGTTTTTGTTTCCATTGGGGTCCGCAGGCGACCGCAGCCCCAGAGCTGAGGACGACGGTGTTGGCCCGGGAGGTGCACGCGTGCCTGGGCTGTGCAGCGGCGCGGGCGGAGCAGGTGGCGGCAGGCCGGCGGGCGGCGCGGAGGAGGAGGAAGAGCCTGTTGCTCCCAAGCCCCGGAAGAAGCGCTCCCGGGCTGCTTTCTCCCACGCGCAGGTCTTTGAGCTGGAGCGTCGTTTTAACCATCAGCGCTACCTGTCGGGTCCGGAGCGCGCAGATCTGGCAGCGTCGCTGAAGCTCACCGAGACGCAGGTGAAGATCTGGTTCCAGAACCGTCGCTACAAGACCAAACGTCGGCAGATGGCCGCAGATCTACTGGCCTCAGCGCCCGCAGCCAAGAAAGTAGCAGTAAAGGTGCTGGTGCGTGACGACCAGAGACAGTATCTGCCCGGCGAGGTGCTGAGGCCACCCTCGCTTCTGCCACTGCAGCCTTCCTACTATTATCCTTACTACTGCCTCCCAGGCTGGGCGCTGTCTACGTGCGCGGCCGCTGCGGGCACCCAGTGAGCCTCCTGGGGCCAGCACCAGTGATTCCTGCGCACCGGTTCCGACAGCCGCTGACAAATGTGTAGGTAGTTTTCTGTGCAGTGGGGCTCAACCAAGGGGCAAGTGGAGGATGAAATCCAGCTCTGGTTCCCATGCCCAGGACGTGTGACCTGGCAGCCGAACTGAGTCTGCCCAGAAGGGGCGCCTTTTCTGATAAGAGCAGGGGGGGCACCGCCTAGTCTCTGCTTACCCTTGCTTACCTGTCTGTAAGCCCCTGGACGTTATTTATTGCCACGCCAATGTTGGATTTGGATTGTGTCTGCCTGGGGATGTTGTTTCCCCGGAGCAGAGAGGACTCCTGGAGACCACATAGCCTGAATCCCCAGAATTTCAGGCCTGCCGGGAGCTTCGTGCGCTAGGCCACACTAGTTCATGGTATCCATGCTACCAATCTATGTGTATCTACATATCTTTTATTTTTGGAAATTACATTTGTGACGAAGGAGTTCCTAACCCTGGCAGCTCCAGGCCAGGGGTTGGTTTGAACCGCGAGTGGTTTGGTTTTCGGGACCTCCGCTCCACCCCTCCCGAGTGTCAGAGCTCAGGAGGCGGCGCCCTATTGGGTGCCTCTCAGCGCAGGGCCTACCAGGGACTCCCACACCTTCCCTTTCTGAAGGCCAAGGCCGCACTCAAACCGGGAGTGCCTGGGAGCCCCCCAGTGCGCAGAAACTTGCCTTTATTTCTTTATATTTTTCGAAGGAGGTTAAGACTTGTAGCACTTTTCAGTTGTTTGTATTCAAATAACGGTTATTTTTGTATTCAATGTGAATATCTCTGGCCACCGTTTCCGGCGTCCTCTGCAATCCCGCCGCCTGGTCTTCTGTTTCTACCCTTACACCCTCCGCGACTCCTGTGCTTGGCCAGGTCCAGGACCCCGCCTTTGCCCCTCATCTGTTTCTAAGACAGGTGATCCCACCTGTCTTGTCAACTTCGCCGTTCTTCGCCTCCTGAAGGGCACTGTGCACTCAACTAGAGTATTACCTTTTAAAAGATTTGTGAAGTTTTGAAGCTCTATTCGCTGTATTTTTTCTTTAATTTATAAACTTTTAGTTTTAACATGCCGTCTTAGATACCGTGTTTTCTCTGAAGCTCTCTCGCTGCGGCTTGCGGGGGGTGGAGGGGGGGAGGAAGGCAGTCTGGAAGTAGCTTGGGGATCATTTTCTCAGTCTTTTTTCTGTCTTGGGCCCAGGAGACATTGCCACCTCCTTCCCCCAGCAGCCCCGCTGCCCAACCACAGGAAAGGGTTAAACAGTGCAGCTCAGGGAATCACCATTTGGGGATTCTGCAGGAGTCACGGATGAATTCCACTGAATTCGGAAGCAGATTTCTAAGATTCCTTGTTTTCTTGAGGGCATGGGCTTCAGAGTCTAGGAAGCGCGCCTAGTTGAATCCACAGCCAATTCACCCTAATCTGCTGATTCTTTCACGTCCTGACGCCTCCGGTCTGCTTTCGATTTTCGGATCGTTTCTCTTCAGCGGTCCGGTCTTTATTCTGTTCCAGGAGTAGGCTAATAAAAATTCACGCTGAAATCCGAAGCGATTAGAGGTGAACTAGGCGCCAATAACGTACCTGCCAAGGAGGGTCACTTGAGATTTTACCATTGTAAGGTGCGAATGGTGTTCCACATGGTTTCAAAGCGTTTCTGATCCCTCGATGACCTGGCGTCCTTTGATGCGTACTGAAACCCATCGGGGGAGCAGAGATGAGCGGAACAAGGTCATTGATCACATTTTGCACATGAACGCCGGCAGGCGTTCAGGTCTCCCAAGAATACCGCTCCCTTCGCTCGCCACCGACCTCGCCTCGCGGGTTCCTGCGAGCAAGGAAGAGTTATTGCCACAGTACTGGCGCCGAGGCCCGGAGACACGGAAACCCAGGCTTCTTTCAATTTCACAGGGAGCCGAAAGGCCTATTTGAGCCATTTTCTAGCCGCAGCCTTTCCCAGTCTCCCAGTCTCCAGGCCTTGGTAGCCTAAAGATCCTGAAGGCCAAGGCCAAGAGTGCTGGACCTCCTGCGACCAGCACGGGCTGTGCCCAGCGAGCGGCAAGCGCTTTACAAAGATTCCAGCTTCCGGAAACAGCGAAAAGTGAAAGACAAACGCCTTCGGGATGTCCACACTGCGCCCCAACCACTCCTGTCCTACTGCTTTCTATTGGGTTCTGCATTCATTTTGCATTGTTTAAAACCGTTTTAAATTTCCATTTTAACTTTATAATTAATCATAAATGCATTTTTCCTTGTAGAAAGTTGGAGCGTTTCCGTTAATTCTACAATCTCTTCCCTTCCTTTCCCCAGAGATCACCACTTAAAGATTTTTTTTTTGAAAGGGGAGGTCGATGTTTTCCCCGTATATGAAAATGGCAGTCGCTTGTTGCAGCGTCCTAAGAGGGTAGTATGTTCTCCGTGCATGAGGATTTGGAGGAGAGAGAACCAGAGAGTTTCTTCCCAGTAGGAAAATGAACGGATGTCTCATCCGCAGCAGACCCCACCTTCCTTTCCTCCAGCGTGGGGCAGTGTCACTTCTCTTCCTCTCTCACTCCTGGGCTCCCCGCCTGGACAGGCTCCGCAGGGCTAGCTCGAGCTGCAGCGGAAATGACTCAAATAAATTCAGTTTTATCTATATTTGTGGCACCTTTCCTTCCAGCTGCCCTTTACCTTGCATTGGCAAGAATACCTTTCAGTCTGGTTCGGGGAGTCCCAGGCAAAATCTAGGTCCAGCTCAGTCTGCCGGGTTTTGCAACTCGCTTTGTTACCCAAGCCCGGGTGTCCTTACTTGGGGTCCTGGGCCACTCCGTGGCTTCGTTGGAAATTCACTGTTACTTTCTTCATTTCCTTTTTCTTTCTCTGCCATTCACCTTTCCTCTCTGGCCTTTTTTTTTTTTTAAGATGAAACAGTGTCATGCTCTCTGACCACATAGCTCCTAGCTCAAAGGGTCTGGATTTGTCCAATCTCTGGGGTTTTTGCTGCATGGAACCTTCTCTGCCTCCTCCGGGCCTGGTTGCCCAGAGCAGTCACTGGCCTGAGTCCAGTGTCCTTCGACGTCTTCATCCTTCTGTCCATTCTCCTTTAAAGAACATTCAAGCAGGCCTTGGGGATCTTAAGATCTGACCCACCTACATTACATAGACCAAGGCATGAAAATGGCTGGAAAAGGGGCCAAATATGCTGTGATCTGCACTGAATTTGATCGCAAGGATTCAGGCCTACTTCACAAATTTTGCTCTGGGCAGCAAATTTGGAATCAGTTGGACATCAAATGTGACTAGCTTTGGGCTCTCTGTGTGTGTGTGTGTGTGTGTGTGTGTGTGTGTGTGTGTGAAGCATCTAGGTCTGTTAGTTTTGCTTATGTCCTGATTCTAAGAGCTTAGGTTTCTGGAGTTCTCAGGCCTCTGGAAAGTATCTTGGCTATGTAGCCATTGAGCAGGTAGTTGAGGTTGGGTTCCATTTTCAAAAATTATCCACTTCTTGGCCATGGTGAATCCCAGAATCTTTGTAGCTCTCCCACTCTGGGAAGGGGAGAGGGTAATGGAGAGTCAGGTTTCACTGGAGATGTGCTGGTACCTCTGAGCTTTGGCCTCCTAGTATAAGTGACCAGAACCAGAAGAGACAGGGTTCCTTGGAGGAGTAACATCTGGAGACTTCTGTGGAGTGGAGAGTGTCCTGGTTCCAGCTCCCTCCTCTCAGAGGGAGAACAGCTTAGTAGATGAAGGCCACAACAAATAGGCCAACTACCCAGAGGGTCAGAACCCCATCCCAAGTAGTTCATATCTCACCAAGTGGTGGTCCTGTGCATCTAATTCCCTAAATTGCCACCATCAGCACCACAGCTCAGAGCTTACAGACAGACTTACAATCCACTCTCCTCCATTCAAGTTTTAGTCCATATTCCAGAGGAAATGAGGACCTGGCCTCTTTCTGCAAAGTTCACAGAAGTCAACTTGCTTACAGAAAGATTCCTGCGTTGCTGGAGAGAAAGTCACCCAGAGCTACTGGGAGAATCAGTCATTTCCACACAATCTCAAAACTGGCAGAAAAGGTCCTGGGGCTCATAGGAAAGATAGGGAGCATTCTCTTCAGGGAGAATAAGGTAATCCAGTGCTGGGGCAGAGGTTGCTGACAATGGGCTCTAAGACTTCATCCTCATGGGTCACTATATTCACTCAACAACTCTCCTAATTGGGAATAGCACAGAGTTCAGTGGGACTGCAAGAGGCAGCAAATGCTTGACAGCGATTTCAAAGTTGCAAAGTGCTAAATGCCCTTTGCACCTCAGGGCATTAGGCAGCTGCAGAAGCCACTGAATATGGAGGCAATAATAGAAACTCCTAATCTGAAGGAGGCCGACAGCCAACCAAACACTGTTTAAGAATAATAATAACAAGGACAGCAAAATCAACACCATTCATTTTTCTGGGGCATTACACTGAAGAAGTGCTTCCAGATCCTGTCCTGCTGAGGTTGCCTGCAGCCTGTCACACATGACCTCCGTCTGACAGAAGAGGAAACTGAGGCTCAAAAAGGTAGCATGACTTTTCCACCACCACAGGCCATTAAGAGGTGGAATCACGGTTGCTAAAACCCAGAAGCATATTTTAGGTTTCACGCAGCAGGATAGGTTTCCTTTAGCACTGGCTCCAAGTTTGACTCTGGGGTGGTTGCATCACAAAGGTGTGAATGCACTTTGAAGACCAGTAAGCAGCACACAACTGGTATGACTTTATTGTTGTTGTTGAGATTATTATTTATTATTATTATTAAACTTCTAGGAATGCAGAATCGCTGAGCTGTAACAATCTACTTTGCTTTCCTTCAGGGAGTTCCAAGTACCCTGTGGTCTGTTGAGCTTAGGGTCTGTGAGACGCCTACAGAGTTCTGGGCAGTCTTTGATCTTCTGATGTAAATGTTTTTAAAATGAAAAAATGCCAAAGCAGGACTGCAAAACAAATTGTGTTATATTGT